CAATTTTAGAACGAAATTTTATAGGGATTTTATATTAGTTATCTCTTAAATTTCATATTGAATCTATTATTATTATGAACGAATAAACATCTACGTGTCAGACCCATCAAAGATCGATGATATAGAAAATGCACCTGAAATGAAACCATATGACAGATATTTATATTTTGAGGATGTAGAAAATTCATTAAATAATTTAACATATTTATTTACGCAAATAGTTGAATCTGCTAGAAAATTTAAACCAAAAAAAGTAATTATATTTACGCATATACGTGATAATAATAACGTCGTATACATCAACAATGATGATAGAAATGAACCATTTTTAAACGATATCGGACAATATAATCCAATTATATATAAAATTAATGTGACTTTAAACGCCATCACTAATCAGATGATCTTAAGTGGAGATTCTATTTATAATAGTGATGGATCCAGATGCTCAGTTGGTTTTTGTGCAAAAGATAAAAAGAATCCGAATATTAATTACATTGTAACTGCAGGACATTGTTATCGTCAGAATAGCGATAATGTGTTTTCTCTTCAACCACAGAACTCAGAAGAAGATCCTCAAATAATTGGACAAATAATATATCATAGAACAGAACCAATCGATGTCGCCTTAATTAATTTAACAGGTTCAGTCAAACCATTACAAAATATAAAAAATTTAGATTCCAACCAATATCCCGAATTATTCATAACTGGTTATTCTACACAAAAACCTAGTCATGGTGTCCATTTATGTAAATCTGGCTCAAGTTCTCAGATTACTTGTGGATACGTAATAGGACTAAATGGGGTATATTTTGAAAATGATGAACCTAAGACAGGAATGATTATTTCAACTATGCTTAGTGAAAGAGGCGATAGTGGAGGGGTTGCATTTCGTTTTTTAGATTTGAATGAGGTAACTATAGATGGTATAATTAGTGCTGGATGTGGGGGTATTTTTACTACTAGCTCTGCAGTTGTGCCATTAAATTCAATTCTTGATGCAGTTGAAATAGTGCCTGTCATACACCACAAGTAGTGATACGGGTCGATGAAAAAATCGTGGGCCGGGGTCGATCCAAAAAAAGCTCGGGCCGGTCGACCGGGCCG